GTTGATCACTTAAATCCATCAACCAAATTTTTGTTTTTCACGGCAAGAAATTTTACGATGTGGATTAGCAATATTAGAAATTTATTTTTGAATTTTCCCAGAACTTTTCACGAAACAATTGTCAATTTATTAGTAAGGCTCTTTAATAAATGTGAAGCTGAAACCTACCATATCGACCAAGTTTTAAATTCTAGAAGAACCGATATTTAAACCTAGACGTCACCGTCAAAACAATAATAATTGAAAAATAATTTTTAAAGCTATGAAAAAATGAGGGACTAGCTCTGCTGGGGCTTGACACCCAGGACCTATCAATTGCCAGTTGATTGGTCTTTCACTGAGCTACAGAGGTCCACATCCAACAAATTTTCACAGCCTTAAGGGGATCCCACATACCGACAATGCAGATCAAAAATGGTTAAAAATCTGCAACGACCGTTTCTTGAAAAATATAAGGAATTATGACCTATAAATTTGTAAAAGTCATTTTTTATTATAAATACATAGGATGAGTATTTTATTTGTTGTAATTATTAAAAAAAATATATTGTCAGAAAATTAAATATGGTCAGTTTCCAAGAGCCCAAACTGCAACGACCTTTTCTTGAAAACAACAAAACAAAATAATTTTTCCATTTAGCAAACTTAATTTTAATAAAAAATACACATAATAAGATTCATTACATATGAAAACAACAATAAAAAACTTTAATTTATGTAAACTGTTTTGTATAGCAATTTACAACAAGAAGAACACATGTGACAGCTTTTAGTAGTTCATAGAACCAAGAGATGGCGCCAAAGGTTCCAAAACTGACAAATTTTGATTATTTTTAGCTTTAAATTAACAACAATAAAATATAATGTTTTCTTTTTGAGTAAAAATTCATTAGTGATGAAAGACACACAATGAGAGAGATTTATTTTGTTCAAATTGTTAAAGAAAAGTTAATGCTAGTAAATTAAATATCAAGTGCCACCGAACAGCTGTCACATATACACTTTACAAAAAATAAAGTTTTTATTTATTCCTGAATGGCAAATGAGTATCATCATCCGTATTTTCCTACAAAATTAAATTTCCCAAATGGAAAAATTATTTTGTTTCGTTGTTTTCCAGAAATGGTCGTTGCAGTTTGAGCTAGTAGTCAAAGATGTGTTACAGGGAAACTGCCCATATTTAACTTTCTAACAATAATTTTTTTCAAATAATTACAACAAATAAAATACTCATCCTGTGTATTCATGATAAAAAATGAGTTTTCCAAATTTATAGGTAATAATATCTTATATTTTCCAAGAAACGGTCGTTGCAGATTTTTAATCATTTTAGATCTGCAATGTCGATAAGTGGGATCCCCTTAACGACTCAATAGTCAAGATGGTTCGCATTCTTCTGCTACAAATTATTTTTGAATTTTCCCAGAATTTTTCACGAAACAATTGTCAATTCATTACTAACACCCTTTATTAAATGTTAAGCTAAAACCTACCATATCGACCAAGTTTCAAATTCCTTATTTTTTCATAGCTTTAAAATTTATTTTTCAATTATTATTGTTAACTTGGTTATAAGATAGGAATGTGAGAAATCGAATTACAGATAATAGGTAATTTAATAAAAGAAGTTTAATTAAAGACTAATAATTAATCGTTCAGGATTACATTTACACTTAACACCACGAAGGCTTAACAGTTCTTATTACGCTTATTACATACGACACACATTAACGAGACTACTTTCTCAGAGACACTCAACAGACGATGTATTCTTACGACACGAAGTCAGATGTAACGAAGACGGCACAACGTTGCCAACCTAAATCTAACGAATTACTCTAGCCGTGCTCTTTAGTACCTTTATAGTTTTCCATATTGAGTATTGATTGGAATTTAACCAATTACATTGAAATTTTCTGGATGATTATTAATTTTAATTTTAAATAATGTCCCAAGTGCGAAAACCATCATGACTGAATAACGACCCAAAACTGGCAATGTAGGCACAGAGTCTTGGTAGACATTATTGGGACGACTTTTGTGGTGTTAATTGCGGTTAGACGTCGGCAAACATTAATGTTCCAATATTGACTGCCAGTCCTTACGCAGTATTGGCAAAATACAAAAAATAATATAAATAATTATATCTTCTATTAATAAACTAATTAATTTGTCATATTTATACTGCTTATATCACTCTGCTAGTCTGACGTGAAGTCGAGAAAGCATAAATTATGTTTTATAAACTACACTATTTACCGATCACAATCGGTCCCAATATTATAAAACTGAAGTTACTGTTGTTTATTCGACGAAATTTTTACTTTAGCTAGTTGCCTATTTTAATGTTAGCAGCCCTTTAAAAAAATTGCGAAAGGATCTAAGTCGGGGTGAGCAGTGATATTGATTTTGTCACGGATTTTCCAAAATTCCCTGAAATTCAACTAAATTAGCTTTTCCTCGCCTTGGAAGCATTTTTTTCTCTTGATGATTATATATTTTACTACCAGAAGCCATTTACAAAAATTGCAAGAGAAAAAAGTAGTAATTTTGAATTTTTTGTCACGGATTTTCTAAAACTCCCAGAATTCAGTTTCATACAATATTTTCAAATATAACTTGCCATCAATAGATTAAAAAGTTTAGCCTAATAATGTGCCAATATTGTCCCAGTAATTTTTGACAATTTTTGGCAGCCATTACCGGACAATATTTACGGGCCCGTTTTACAGTCTTGGTCTTTCGCACTTGGAGCTTAAAGAAAACCATACAATTGATTTTTTCCGAGATGTACCAGCACGTGGAGATAACTAATATTGGTTGTTTTTGGAAAGTCTTTAGATTATACATTAGGAGGTTAGAGAAAGTAAAAAATTTCTTGATAATTAAATTTCATAAAAAATATTAAACATTTTCATTTTAGCATTATTAAATTATAATTTGTATAATCATAATTTGTAAAAACAAAAAACATCTTATTCAGAAGTAATAACCAAAGTAGCACGTAATATTACAGCAATATTGAGAACACTGCCTTAACATTACCAATATTGTCTCAATGTTGCCAATGTTACTGGAACATTACGTCCTACTGAAGAAGTAGAATAAAAATGATTATTAGATATCAATATTTTCATTTTTTATATAGGTATAAAAATATTTTAACTTTTAAATTTTAGATTTAAAATTCCTAATTTTTTCTATTTTTATAATTAAATTAAAATTAGAATTACCAAAAATACAAACTAATTAATTAATCAAAAAATATCAACACCAACTTGATGTAAGAATTAATCAATATTTGGGGTCGTTCATAAACTACGTCACACTCCTAGGGGTGGGGGGTGTCAAGCTGTGTGTGACGAAGTGTGGAAAAAATTTTCTTTTGTATGTAAAAAATGTGACGAAGGGGGGAGGGGGTAAAAATCAGTCCAAAAAAGCGTGACGTAGTTTGTGAACGACCCCTTTAACCCTTTGAGGAGCAGTCATACATTCAATTCAATTCATATGAACATTTTTTTGTTAACTCGTGCACTACATTCTTGATTTTGAAAACTGAATATTGAAACAATATTTTTGTCTAATGTAGCAAATTTCTTACTTTTGATCGAGTTATAGAATTTTGAAAAACATTTTGAAAACATACCGCTTTTATACACTACCGTCCGTGAGTATCAGGACGCCCCTTTTTCATGAGTGGAAAAATGCTTAAAACGTAGAAAATAAAAATGCCAACATTTTTTTTTAATTTCTTGAAAACTAATTAACTTTTATTAGCGCTCTTGGTCTTGTTTTAATCTCTATTTAATGTAGAATCTAAATTATTAACTGGTATTGTGAAATAAATTTTTCTAAAAAAACTTGAAACCGTAAAAGTAGGATTAAAAAAATTCAAAAAATTATCATGAATAATAAAGTGTTAAAAAGGTCAATGTAAAATATGTTTATGTAATAGATATACTAAAATTTAAAAAAGCTTTTTAATAACTTAATTACGAAAAGCGTGCAAAATCCAGTATTTTTTCTGTATCTGACAGAATAGTCAACGAAAATTCTTTGATCAGGTGTCAGTCTTTTCATAATTTCATTAGCTTTCAGGAAAAAAATACGAAAAATTTTTGTCATTCTTATATTTCTACGTTTTAAGCATTTTTCCACTTATGAAAAAAGGGGCGTCCTGATACTCACGGACGGTAGTGTAAATTTTGTACTGACCATCGCTTTTTATTTTCTTACAAGAAAATAAATTAAAATGAAAGATACAAAATTAACTCAATAGGCGATCATCTATAAGTTTAGATGTTTGTGATATGATTTAACCCTTAAACCGCACACTGACGAATCCATCCTTAAACCGCACACTGGGTGTGCGACACCCGGGGACTTTTAGGTGTGTTCTCCAAGCTGGAATAGGATATTATCTTTTGGAAAAATTATCTTATATAGCTCAGTACATCTATTTTGAAGGAAAATAGGTTTCATAATGATTTATTTAATTTTAATAATTAAAAAAGAGTTTTTTAAAACTACTGAAATTACCTTAAACCAAAAACTGGGTATCAGACAAGCAAAAATTTTTCGCCGACAACTTTATAAAGTTATCAAATACACAAAGACACTTGGCAGACTAATGTCACTCACGAAGCGGAAAATTAATAATAAATTATTAATTATTATTAATTATTAATTATTATTAATATTATATTATATTATTATTATATATTATATTATATTATTATTAATTATTATTATTAATTAATATTAATTATTATTATTATTTATTATTATTATTATTATTATTATTATTTTTTTACTTAATAAATTTAAGTACAAAATGTACCATCCAATATCAACACATGTTCAATTTTTACGAATTTAACCGAAATATTAGAGTAAAAAGCTAGAATATGGGTGTCGCACACCCAGGGTGCGGTTTAAGGGTTAATGCTGTTTTCTAGTTTTCATAGGCATATTGATTTTTTAATTTTCTAAAAACTCACCGTAGATGGTTATTTTAAAATTTGGTGGTAACTTTTTCGCTCCTTTCCTTCTTTGAGTTTCGATAAGGTGAAATTTACCTTTACCAATTAAATTTTGTAGTAGGATTCTCATTAACGGAACCAGCTTTAAATTAGATTCTTTCTTTATATCATCACGTACTGTTTCAATTATCCAAATATTTGACTTAGGCCATAACTCAACCTGCAACTCACAAACAGACATACACACAGATAGGAAATTTCATAAGATGATAATTGTGGCATTCTTATCTCAATTTTATTAGGTTGTGACTAATATGAATTTAAAGTTGCTTTATAAAGGCCAAATATTTAGGATATTTATTCCATTTACAAAATAGTAATATGAAACTATTACCTTCCCTGCACTATCTTCAAATGAAAACAGTTCTTGCTAAAATGAAAAATTTTGGCATATTTTTTTTCGTAAAATTTGAATAAATGTTTTAGAAAATAGTAAGGTACACTGAGAAAAAGAGGGCGCTACTAGAAAATATAAGCCATCGCACCTTTTTTTCTCAGTGCACTTATAAAACGCTTTGAATCATCATGTACCTGCAAGAGGTCACTGTTCTCCGTTACTAATAGAAACAGATAAAATGAAAATATAAATCTACAAAAAAATTCAAAACATATCGTCGCTTGGGGGGTAAAATATATGATTTCAAAAAAAGTTTTAAAGGTCTTGCTAGAATGGTATATGGGCATGTCTAGAACTTTTCAACTTTATGTTTCCGCTTATTATTATATTTTTAAAATTATAAAAATAATTTTGCAGTAGAGTAAAACGGGCGAAGCAGCCAAGACGGCACATTTTAGTTTGCGAGGCAGTTATTTGAATAGGTTTTTCCAATTTTAATATCGCATTAGAAAGCTTATCTTTTTTGCTAAAAAATCTCCATAGAACATTTTGACGTAGGTTGCACTAAAAAGTTTCTACAACCGTATCCCCAAAGGACCACGTTTTTGTCATATTTGCAAAAACGTGGGGTGAGGCGGCCAACTCTTTTAATAGTTAAAAAAAATAACTTAAAGTTAAAATTAGTGAAACCTAACAAGGTAGTTGTCCTTAATTTACTTTTATTTTGTTAGTAAACTTCAAAAATGTACATTTGAATAATATATTAAACACTAAATTCTGCATTGAAAATCACTTTACAAGAATTTCATTTGTGTAACTCAATTAAATAAAATCATAAAAATTACTCTTAAAAAAGTTACATCTAAAAAGTCTGTTTTCATAAATGGTACTGTCATTGCTAAACTGCTGCAGCAATAATGCCCATCTCTTTGCAATTCTACCATAATTTGATAAATTATTGTGCTCATTAAATATACAATGTGTTTAATTATCTTTTTAATTAGGTAGAGAACGACAATAGTAAGGGAAAGTGTCGAAATCGGCAGTTTCCCGTGTTTGACATTGACTGTTTTTTTCAGTTTATTTGGTTTAACTTTTTTAACAAGTCATTACATATTTTATGACTTATAGTAGAAGTAGTTAGAAGTATAAAGAACCAAAAAATTATTGAGACCATGATGTTTCTCAATTTAGAAAAAAATAGCGTAACTTCAAACCTGCGAGACAATTTTTCTTAAATTTTGACAACTTATCAATTAACTTGATATAACTTACCTGTTTTAACGCAGATTTTTAAGTAACCATATAACGGGGTTATATTATCTATACAATAAGAAGTAATTTGAACCCTTACAGGAATATGTGACATTTATACATATGGAATGCAATGACTTCAAACGTTAAATTTAGAAATGAAACTCATTATAAAAACCTACATTTTTGAAGAACACATGTTGAATTTGAATTCTAAACACTTTTAACTTATTGTAATCTCTTCTTGCACATTGTAAAAGTATACAGAAAAATCGTTAACCTTTACACTATTCATAAAAAGTATATAATATATACTTAGATATATTATATCTAAGAAAGAATATGAGCTTCTACTATCATATACTTTGTTTCATAAAAAAATCATTAAACTGTTAAATCTGCCTAAAAATTATTATTTATAGGTTTCTGGGGTCCTCTGGTTACAAATCGGAAGTTAGTTTAAAAAAATTGTAAATAGCAAATCCAAAATAGCGGACGAAATTTAAAAAAAATTATCGGATTTTAATGTCTTCTGACATTTAAGAGTTTTCTGGTTTGCTGATCATGAATTTGAAATAATTTTTTAAAAAATTTATATAGAATATCCAATATAATGTATACATTTTTGTAAAATCGAATCTTTTTGCATAATACTTGCTGTTTGGTAGTTTTTAACAAACATTTTTTAAATTTTTCATTCGCCATATTGGATCCACCATTTAAAAATTTTCATATATAACTTCAGAATCATTGTCAGTGACCCTATAAACCCCTGGATACTCAATGCTGTGGAAATCCGATAAATGTTTTTTAATTTCGCCCGCTATATTGGAACCGACATTTTGAATTTTAAAATACTAATATTGTATTCGTAATCAGCGACCTCAAAGATCCTCAGATACTGATTGATGTAAAAATCAAACTGCATGAATAATCTATATGTTTAGAAACATTTTCTTGGGGTTAAACTCATACACAGGGGGTTAACGATGTGTATAAATGAGTATCGCAAAGTTTTTTCTATTATTTGATCAATACACAAGACAATAAAATTAATTTCAAGAATGTGTCTTGAAAAAAGAAATTAAGTTTTCCAATACCTAAAAGTTTAAAAGTTCTAGAGATATGACCATATGTTTTACCACCCAAACGACGGTTGCAATATTACTTGCTAGAATATAGTATAAAAATATTTTATACAAATGAGCCCGATAGTGTTTTATTTATAATAGTTTGCTTATTATCACCTTTATTTGAAAAACTTGGAATTGTACGTAGTATCACACTTAATGAGTTTTTCAAAACTGTTTCTGTTAAGTTCTTAGTTTTAAAATGATCCTTCACGAAGCCTAAAAAATATAAATTTTTTTAAACTCCAAAACATGTTCGCTATAGTTTTCCTGTAATTTTTTTTAAATACATATGTATAACAATTTTCATCTTTCTAGGTAAGAAAAATACTGTTCGCGCTAATGGGGTACATGCCATTTTTGCACATAGTATAAATAGAAACAAGTCAATTAAAACACAAAAACTACTAGCAACAATACGCGCGCTGAAGCGCGCGGCTAACTTCTTACTTCCATTTTTAGAATAAAATTATCAGTTTTAAATATAATAGAATTTAATAATATTTAATTCAAATTTGTTTCCATGAAAATAATTCATGAATTGGAATATGCATAGTTTAATACTATTATAACTATATAATAATAATATATGCTAAGACAGGGAATTTAGGGAAAAGTCAGGGATTTTTATTAAAAATGCTGGCAAAAATTAAATATTTAGAATTTATAAGAAAGCACTAAAATTTTGTTTCTTTGTGTTTTACTCATAAACTTTGAATTACTACAAATTCTAAAAAACACTCAGTTTTTTTTGTTTCTGACAACAATTTATTTTTAAATTACTTCATTCTTGAACAACTATCACTTCTTAAAAAACAAAAATTTTAAGAAAATTAAAAAACTTTTAATTTTTTTTAAATATTTCAAAATTAATTGATTTTTAAAAGAGTTGCGTTTACAATTTATTCATAAATAGATTAACTTCGGAAGGTTTTAATTTGAAATTGTATAAAATTTCAATTTTCAATTAATTTAATTAGAAATAGCTAAAATGATATTAGTTTCTGATTTTAATGTCAAAATATATTTAATAATAATGTCTATTAACTATTTTAATGTTCTTTTTGTTGATTTACAACGTTCTCTCGTGATAACGAACATTAAAACTCTCGATACAACGACAAAAAAAACACGAACGAATTTAAGAATTTAATTCAACCAAAATTTTGGTTATCTCAAAAAACGACAAAGTTAATCAACCCTTAACTTTATTTAACCTAAAGAATCTAGTGATCCGATTATTATTAAAAATACTTACTTTTTCTTTAAACTAATTCCATAATTCAGAAACTTTTAATACAAATAAACATACTTTACGAAAACTTTTACACGTATTTGACGTTTGTACTGTTAATCACGGATAAATTCATGCGTTTGAATAGGACGTGAAGTAGGATTCTCTGTCGTAATATCGAGATTTTGAATTCCCGAGATCGTTGTTATAACAAGAATCAAGTGTAATACAATCTATCTAATGTTAACAAAAAATACAACTTCAGAGTGTGAAGGACAGAAAAATAAAAATGAATGAAAGAATGAAAGAACATTCAAATTATTATAGTTAATTTTTTTTATTTTGTGCATATAGCAACAAACAAAGTTGGAGTTTGGAATTACCCGCGCTATCTAAAAAGTAGCAAAATAAATATGATAATAAAACTTCGTAGGGTGTTTACGAGATGCTCGTCCTAGGGCGCCCCGAGGCGACCAAAGGTTCTCAAAGTCACTTTTATTATCGTTTGTTTTCATATAAATAAAGAATAATAAAAGTGACTTTGAGAACCTTTGGTTGCCTCGGGGCGCCCTAGGGCGAGCATTTCGTAAACACCCGTAGTCATGGATTAAACCCCTCCCCCACGTAGTTTGCCGTAGATTTTCGCTAACCCCCCCTCGCCCTAAGTTGGCTACGTAGTTTATGGACGATCTCTTTCAGAAAAAGATAGGGAGTTGTGGAACGTCGATAAAAGTGAAAGAAAATCGTATAATTTAAAAGAGTATTATTTATTTAAACTATAGAACATTAAAAAGAGTTGTAACTGAAACAAAATAAATTAAATTGAGTTTATTAGATACTACCACGTCCTCTTTAGAGGCTCCGGTTTTGGCAAAGAGTATAATTCACATTTAATATCGGAAAACAAATTAAACAAAAATTATAAATATGAACATTCCCACAGGAAAACAAATCTAGTAGAATTACATCATTTGATAAACCAATAAATGTTTAGAATCAATAGGCCAATAGAATTTAATTATCTAATGTGACTAATTTTATTAAATCCTAATATGAAATTATAAAATATAAAAAAATTTATTTCGATACATAAAATTAAATTCTGGATAACCCCATATACTTTTCATACACCCTAGGGCCCTTAACATTTAAATTGGCAAGGTCACTCTCTAAAAGAGTCGCATAAGATTCTGCGAGTGACTCTCTTGGAAGTTTAAGTGTGATAAGACAATTTTGAACAAAGAAATTGTATACTACATCTACATGTTCTTTAAACAATTTTGCAGTGGCCTACGGTTTAAAATTTTTTTAGAAAAAAAAATTTTAAAACATGATTTAGAAATTAAATCTATAGAAGATATTTTAAACTTTGTCAGCTGTTAATCATAAATCATCTTGCATTATGATTTTAAATTAAGTGAAATAAGCTTTATATTATGTACAACTTACTAAACACTGCGACTCGGACCTTCTTAGGTAATTCCTTCGGATTCTTTAATTTTCTTGAAAAATGGTGTAATTCGTTTATACCAATTAAATTTTCTAATAACTCTCTTATAAGGGTTCTTGGATAAAGTAAAGGCAAGTCCATAATTCTATCAAGTTCATGTTTATATATATAAACTGTTGAATCAGGCCATAACTCAACCTACATTATTTATAATTAATGATTTAATTATTTATTTTATATCAATAATTTTTAAAAACTTTTAATATAAATATATATATTTATATATATATATATATATATATATATATATATATATATATATATATATATATATATATATATATATATATATATATATATATATATATATATATATATATATAGGGGAGTATAGTCGAGGTTGGACCACTGTCTAGGTAGGCCATTCGCGATTTTTGGAAAAGTTCACTAGCGCCACCTACGCACATGCTTGTCGAAGCTTGTCTTAGTGAAACCTAACTTTTTGTTCAATTACATTTTCGGAGAATCGAAAATTGTGTTTTCTGTGACGTCGGTACAAAAAGATCAAAAAAAGTTTGAGTGCATCATGTGAAAAACCATTAATAAAAGATAAAAAAAATTGAATCGTCAGGGCAAGCATGTAAAAAATTTGTGGGACTTATGGTTGAAAGAAAAACAAAGTGAAAAATGGAATCCCGAAACGTATTTCTTTATGGTTACAACAATTCGGTAATGTTACTTTCTGTCAAGGTCGGCCACTTTGTGTTTAAAATGCACAAAGATGAGGACGAGCTACTTCATTTGCAAAAACTGCAATTCTGAATAACTCATAATATAATTCATAATCATATTAATATTTTTATTTAATTTTATTAATATTTTAGTGCAAAATTGTTTTTTTATTTATATTTATTTTTTTATAGGGGAGAGTGGGGCAAACCGGATATACCTACGGTTTTTTTTATTCTTGTGACCAAACGAATCAACCGATTTCATTTTTCGATGGCTTGTTTGAAAGATCATTTAATTGCGCAACTTTTTCCCAGAGACACCTACACTTTATCTTTCATTGTTTAGTTGCTGTGTTAACTTTAAAAAAATTTGCAAACGGGCCGGTTTGCCCCACCCCCTGAGGTAAACCAGCCACCCCATAGGGCAAACCGGTCAGTTGGGTTTTTTGGGACGCATGATTATTCCTCAAATTTAAATTTCCTAATGTTCAAAACATCGAAATTTTTATCATCGAAACATCATTTCGCATAATTTTTAGTTTTCGAAATTTCATTCAACATAATTTTCAATTTATTGATTTATTCTTTATCCTATTATTTGAATAGTCGAATTGTTTTTCAATATAATTTTTAATATGTCGAAAATGTTTTTGACATACATTTTATTTTTCCGAATGACTATTTGTCATAATTATTAATCCTCCGAATTGCCATTTGACATAATTTTCAAACCTTCGAAATATTATATTACATAACTTTCATTTATCGAAATTTTATTTGTCATAATGTTCATTTACTCAAATTATCAAGTGACATAAAGCGCATTTACTCGAATTCTCATGTGACATAACCTTCAAATCTTCGAAATGTCATATTTAAGAAATTTCATTTATCGAAATTTTATTTGTCATAATGTTCATTACTCGAATTATCAAGTGACATAAAACGCATTTACTCGAATTCTCATGAGACATAACCTTTAAATCTACGAAATGTCATATTTCAGAAATTTTTATTTATAGAAATTTTATTTGTTATAATTTTCATTTATTCGAATAACCATTTAACATAAAATTTATTTGTCCGAAATTCCATTTGACATAATTTTCAAACATCCGAATTACTTTTTAACCTATAATGCAAGTCACAGAAATTTCATTTGTCCTAAAATAACAATAAAAATGAGAAAAATATTTGAAAATTTCATTGTTTTTTTAGGACAAATGAAATTTCTGTGACTTGCATTATAAGTTAAAAAGTAATTCGGATGTTTGAAAATTATGTCAATGGGAATTTCGGACAAATAAATTTTATGTTAAATGGTTATTCGAATAAATGAAAATTATGACAAATAAAATTTCTATAAATTAAAATTTCTGAAATATGAAATTTTGTAGATTTGAAGGTTATGTCACATAAGAATTCGAGTAAATGCGCTTTATGTCACTTGATAATTCGAGTAAATGAACATTATGACAAATAAAATTTCGATAAATGAAAGTTATGTAATATAATATTTCGAAGGTTTGAAAATTATGTCAAATAGCAATTCAGAGGATTAATAAAATTATGACAAATAGTCATTCGGAAAATCAAAATGTATGTCAAAAAAATTTTAGACATATTAAAAATTATATTAAAAAACAATTCGACTATTTAAATAATAATAGGATAAAGTATAAATCGATAAATTAAAAATTATGTTAAATGAAATTTCGAAAACCGAAAATTATGCGAAATGATGTTTCGATGATAAGAATTTCGATGTTTTGAACATTAGGAAATTGATATTTGAGGAATAATCATGCGCCCCGGGTTTTTATCTACAATATTGCATTTGTATAATCTACAATAACAACAAACATAAAGAATCATGTGAACAATGGTTGTAATAATGTAAATAATAATACAGGATTAAATTTTAATTAAATAAATAATTTTTTTAAATAACAAAAAAAGATGTTTGAAATTATCAGAGAAACAATATTAAAGGGTCTAATTCTCATTGGAAGACAATTATTTTTCATTGTAAGTAGATATTTTAGTGAAAGAAACATTTTATTTAAAAATAATTTTTATGAAACTTTAATTTAATGGAAATATCCTATGGCCGGTTTGCCCCACCGAAAACGGTCCGGTTTGCCGCACAGGCCCATTTTGAGAATAAATGTTTGTCAAAAAGAAACGCTTTGCAAATTTATCAAAGTTTTTGGTGGTAAATATTCCTGAGGTGTGTACCTTCAAAACCCAAGACCAAATATTTGGAAATATTACACGATTTTCTCTAAAATTCCTTAAGAAAAAATTCGTAAAAGTGTAGAAAAAAACTAAAAATAAACTTTTGCTCCCAGCGTTGCATAAACAAAAGTAAAAATTGTCAAATTGAAAAAATAAGGTATACAACACATGGTTGTTTCAAATTTCTAAATAGCACTTTTGACAATTTCGGATATTGACCCCTGGCCGGTTTTCCCCACTCTTCCCTGTTGTTTATATTTATTATTTCATTAAGTTACAAGCTGTAAACAATAAAGAATAAATTTTCCTTAACTCCAAACATGTTATTTTATTTTTTAACGATTAATGCCCTTTGAATTTTAAACATGGACCGACGTTGACTCTAAGGGTCAAGCTGGACTAAATTTTTTTTTAAATCTTTATAACTTTTTCATTTAAAACCATTCAATTTACTTGGTACAGAAAAAATGTTCCTATTAAACAGGACTTTCCAACAATATACTTCAATTGTCCAAATTCATTTTTTAATTAAAGTTATAAACAAAAGTCAAAAGGTGGGCCGACCTCGAATACATTCCCTTATACAGTAAGAATACCTGACTATGCATCAGTCCACGAGTGCGAAGGGGACACTCTTATGCGGCGTTCAATGTTCGCTCACTCGCATTCACGCTTAGGGGTGATTCATAGTTAGATACTCTTACTGTATATATATATATATATATATATAAATATATATACAGTCGAACCTAGATAAGTGGAACCTCAAGGGACCAAAGTTCTTGTTCCACTTATAGAGGTATTCCACTTATCCAGGTCATTTAAGGTCAAATTACTTGTGCAGGGACTGCAAAGAAAGTTCCACTTAAAGAGGATTCCCACTTATCAAGGAACCACTTATCCAGGTTCGACTGTATCAGTACTTTTTCATATAATCAGGCAGATTATCCATGAATTCTATTTAGAGTATTCAATCATCCATATAATAAATACTGAAGAAAAATTTTTACCTTTCCTGTAGAATCTTGATAAGGGAAATGATTTTTCTGAAAGGGAACAATGTACTTTTCCATAATTATCATTTATTCATTTTAGAAGATTTAACAAAAGTAATTCAAAAATATTATTTTACTTAATGTATAACAAATTATAAATGTCGTATACCTCTAAAGCATTGCTGTCCAGAACAGATTTACCTGATGGTAATAAAAACACAAACACAATCTAATACATGGCGATATATTTATTTTCTTTAATATTTAAGTGCTTTGAATGGTAATAAAGTTAAATCATGTTATGAAGCTTATTCGGAAAAAATTCATATAAAAAGATGGAAAGCAATTACTATATCGTAGCTTGAGAGGTAACACATATTTTTTCATAACAATTTTTAAAAATATAGGCACCATTTCATCAAGAGTCATGAAAATTTTTATGGGTCTGGCTAAAATGGTATGTGTATTACCACCCAAACGACAGTTGCAATATTAGTTAGGGGAGATTGGGGAATTGTGGGTCACCTCTATTATTTAATAATATCTACAAGTTTGATCATTCAATTTTTTTAAAATTTTTTTTGTTCGTCCAAAGTAAATTTTTCATTGGCATGTCATGACTTTACAACGCTTTACAATTGAGGAGCTGGATCGAAGAACCGGCTCTTCGCTCGGACCGCAAGCGCTAATATCAGTCGGGTGGCAGTGAGCGCCTCTGGGCCACTCACTCCTACCCGACTGGTATAAACGCGTGCGGTTCGAGCGAAGAGCCGGTTCTTCGATCCAGCTTCTCAATTATTACCTACAAACAGTTAACAAAAATCACCTGAAAAATTGCATTCAAATATTTATTTTGGGCCTTTATGTTTTTATTTTTTTACAAGGATTTTCAAGAATTAATTATTGAAAATATTTTTTGGGAAACTATTTGTTAATTGTTTTTGGCGATTTCATTGCAAATATTATTAAAAACACTAATAGTTATAGTAATTTAACAAAAACAATTATATTCATTGCGATTGAAACGATAGAGTTGTTCACTTAAAATGTGTAATTAATTGAGCTTATTTTACTTGTCCAAATTGTGATTCCGATTAATTTCATTTTCTTACATTTTGCTTTCTAATTTTAAATTAATAATTAAACATTTATAACATTTTTAATGTTTCTAATTATTTAATTAATATATTTCATCGTTATTTTTTATTTTGTACCTAATTTAGGCAGTGGTCCACAATTTCCTAACATTTTTAAAAATCATAAAAGTGCACTCTTTGGTAAAACTGAAATTTCTTTTAGATAAGTAATAATTTTGGTAAGCTTACTATAATATATGATAGTTTAGACCTCCTACTGACAAGAAAAGTTTGAAAATTAAAAAAAAAATTTATGTAAGATATTGAGCTAAGAAAAAGAGTGAACCACAATACCCCAAACTCACCTACTAAAAAATAGTGAAAAAATATTTCGTAAAAATGAGCCAGATAGTTATTTATTTACAATAGTTTGGTTATTATTACCCTTATTTGCAATACTTGGAATCAGAAGTAGTGTTCTACGTAATGCCTTTTTTAGAAGCGCATCTGTTAAGTTTTTCTTAGTTTTAAAAATATCCTTCACGAATTCTAAAAATAAACATTTTAATAACATTAGAATTAGTAAGACCATTTACATCAAAGAATTATAATTAATTATAATTTTAAACTATGATGAATAAGCTTTAAAATTTAAAACAGGTAGAACTCACTAAGTACTGCGAGTTGGACATTCTTAGGTAATTCCTCCGGATTCTTTAATTTTCTTGAAAAATGGTGTAATTCGTTTATACCAATTAAATTTTCCAATAACGGTCTTATAAAGGTTCTTGGATAAAATAAAGGCAAGTCCATAATTTTATTAAGTTCATTTTGATATATCCAAACTTTTGAATCGGGCCATAACTCAACCTATATTATTCATAATTAATGATTTAATTATTTATTTTACATCAATAATTTTTAAAAACTTTTAATATAATATTTCCTCTGCATGCTTAATTCCAAACTGTTATATCAGTACTTTTTTATTTAAGCAGGCAGATTCTCCATGCATTCTATTTAGAGTATTCATTCATTCATTTATTTAATAAATACTAAAGAAAAATTTTTACCTTTCCTGTAGAATCTTGATATGGGAAACGATTTTTCTAAAAGTGAACAATGTACTTTGCAATCATTATCATTCATTCATTTCACAAGTGTTAAAAAAGTAATTTAAAAATATTATTGTAGGGGAGAATGGGGCAACCGGACCCCCTAACGGTTTTTTGACTCTTGTGACTAAACGAATCAACCGATTTCATTTTTCGAGGTCTTGTTTATCTTTTATTGTTTAGTTGCTGTGTTAACTTTAAAAAATTTTTCCAAACGGTCCGGTTTGCCCCACCCCCTGGGGTAAACCGGACCGTTTGGTTTGTTATCTATAATATTGAATTTACATAATCTACAATAATAAAAAACATAAAAAATCATGTAAACAATGGTTGTAGTAATGAAAATAATAATACGGGATTGAATTTAAATTAACCCGTTCGCTGTTTGGAAAAATATTCATTTTAGTGCCCCAAAATGTCCATCAACATCTTTTAAATTGTTATATTATTTAAAAATAATAAACAATTATTTATTTATTACTTTTTCTAGTATCATTAATACCTATAGTATGTAAATAATGATATGAAAGAATTTATTTTATAATTTAAATAACAAATTTCTATTTTTTGCTAACACTTTCACGACCCAACGTTGGGTCGTTAACAGTCTGGTCCATCTTTTTTCACGACCCAACGTTGGGTCGTTAACAGGCAACGGGTTAAATAAATATTTTTTTAATAAAAAATAAAAATGTTTGTCATTATCAGAGAAACAATATTAAAGGGTCCAATTCTCATTGGAAGAAAATTATTTTTCATTGTAAGTAAATATTTTAGTGAAAGAAACATTTTATTTAAAAATAATTTTTATGAAACTTTAATTTAATGGAAATATCCTATGGCCGGTTTGCCCCACCGAAAACGGTCCGGTTTGCCCCACAGGCCCATTTTGAGAATAAATGTTTGTCAAAAAGAAACGCTTTGCAAATTCATCAAAGGTTTTGGTGGTAAATATTCCTGAGGTGTGTACCTTCAAAACCTAAGACCTAATATTTGGAAACATTACACGATTTCCTCAGAATTTCCTTAAGAAAAAATTCGTAAAAGTGTAGAAAAAAACTTTTGCTCCCTTCGTCGCACAAACGCAAGCTAAAACTGTCAGATTGAAAAAATAAGATATACTAAACAGGGTTGTTTTAAATTTTTAAACAACACTTTTTCCAATTTCACCATTTCGGAAATATTAAGAGGGGTCCGGTTTACCCACCGGTCCGGATTGCCCCACTCTCCCCTACTTAATGTTTTAAAAATTTTAAATTTCATATACCTCCAAAGGATTGTTGTCCAGAACAGATTTATCTGCTGGTAATGAAAATATGAAGGAAATGTAATACATGTCAATAAATTTTTTTTCACACTGAGAGACCTTTGGGACTGTAGCGGAACAACGTATGTTACAGCAGCTTCACTATGGTTTTTGTGCGCTGCGGTACAATTTTGGGCGCGTGACAGTCCAAAATGTTGGTGAGCAGCTCACAAAAGTAGTGGGGATGCCGCCTTTGGTATGCAGCGGAAGAATTTTTGGACTGTCACGAGCCCAAAGTTTTACCGCAGCAACCCAAAAGTATAGTCCTGTAGCGTTTCACCAAAATGGTCAGTAGCAGCCTATCGAAATTCTGCTGCTGACCCAAAGATCTCAGTGCATTATAATATAAAATACAAATACAAATACTGGTAACAAAGAGAAATGGAGGGATAAATCTTATTAGAAAACTTTTATATATTCCTTATGCAGTATAAAAAAATTTGTTGCTTGGTAATAAAGAATAAAATAAAATATTTGTTGGGAATTTTTTCCAAAAATTAAATAAGTCTTTTGCAATAAATAAAACTCATACGCGATAAGAGAAAATTGAATTATACATTAAGACTCTTTGTGTACATGTTGTTACGATTCGTACATAACATGATGAAATAAAAAGAAAATAATTTTTAAAAGGATCTTACTTCGTCAGTCACAGGTCTCCTCAGAGGTGGGCAGGTTATTCTAAAATGTAACGCTACAAACTTGGTGGGGAGTTGTTAAAATGACTTCCAGATTCCAAATTTTTAAACCGATAAATCGTACCTGATCCTCTTTTCGAATTATCTCTTATGCAGATAGTCGGAAACTTGAAAAATTTATTATTTTAATGCGGAAGCCTTGATTCAGAAGACTGCTGATTTTTCGTTACTAAAAATTTTTTAGACAAAGATTTTATGGATAATTATGGTTCCGAATTGTCTCTTCTTCAAGAAACTTTTTGATTTTTTGAATTTGGACACGTCTGTCACATGCTAAAGTGCTACATATATGAATATATATATATAATTTCAGAAGCCTGCAAAAAAATAAAAATTTCCGTTGTCTTAGATCAAGAAGTCATTTACCGTAGCTTTTAGTGCGCTAAATCCGAATTAACATTTAACAAAAACCTCCCATCACGTCAGGATTTTAAGAAAATTTGGGGTAAAGTACCCAAAAATCATTTCTTAGTAGTTTTTAAAAATTTCTACTGGGTAAATCCGACGTGCTAGAGACTTGTCATATTAGTTAAATTAAAGCTTGAACCCTCTACTTTACGAAAATATAGCGATATTGCCAACAACAAACTAAATTAACTGTCAAAATTGATTTTTCAACAGTTGTCCTGCATACAAATTGACTTAAATACAACTATTTAAAAAAATGATTGGATTCGCTAAGAATTTGTTACTCGGGGGTTTTCGGGATCGCTGATTACGAATATGACGTCAGATTTTCAAAACTCAAAATGTTGGATCCAATATGGCGATCGACTTTAAAAAATCGATTCAATTTACCTGAAACACGTTACTCGCGGGGTTTCGCTGATTAGGAATTTTTCCACAGATTTTTTTATTTTGACATCATATTCGCAATCAGCGACCCCGAAACCCCTGAGTAACAAATTTTAAACCAATCCAATCATTTTTTAAAACAGTTGTATTTACAAAAACTAAAAAGTGATTTTTGGGACTTATAGGGGAGAGTGGGGCAAGACGGGGTACCGGCCCTATTTAACAAACGAATTAACCAATCGCGATTATATTTTACATAATACTGCACCGAGACGATAGTCGTTTGTTTACAAAACCTAAAAGCCATGAGAACAAATCTTTTATCTGTTTTACTAAAAAAACTGTTTTCGACGATTTTCTTGTCAATTTTTCACTTTTTTTAGGAGATGTTTATTATTTAATAATAACAGTTAATAAACTATACAAAATTTTTTATAACTGGCAAGCGTTACAGAAGAAGGGAAGCATATGTTTTTTTCTTTGTTGAATCGTAAATTGTAGTAATTAATCATTTTATTCAATTTCGTAGGTGCGGGCAAGATAGGGTAGAGAAGAGTAGGGCAAGGCGGGTTACACAAATGAAGCAAAAGAAAAGAGAAATAAAGGAAGTTAAGAAAACTACTTAAATCAAGACTGAATAAAATAAGAGTGACCAAAAAGAAAAAAGCTTGTCAGGTTAAATCAATAATTAGCGATGGTAAAGTGGAAAATACACCTTGTCTCTATAAATTGTAATGGTTATTATTTAGATTCAAATAAAGGCTGGGCTGCTTCTTCTGTCTGCGGCCAATGGACTTTGTGCCGTTGTGCTGGTGCCAATGACGAAGATGAAGATGCAACCTTTACTTGTTAAATTTGTCGACAGAAATAGACTGCTTTTTTAGTACCGCGCCGGTGGGTCAGGATGGGGAGATTTGCAATTTTTTCCATATTATTAATTTTATGATTTTTTAAAAAACCAATGGCCTTTGTGCGCCTTTGTTACTAAAGACTGATTCCCAAAGATGGTTATTAAATTAAATAATAAAATATGTATTCGATAATTTTCGTTTTTTTGCGCTTTAAACCTTAAGTACCCCGTCTTGACCCACTCTCCCCTACCCCCACTTTTCTCAAAATCATGAACATAATTATCTATAAAATCTTTGTCTAAAAATTTTTAATAACGAAAAATCAGCAGTCTTCTGAATCAAAGTTTCCACATTAAGATAATACATTTTTAAGTTTCCGACTATCTGTAGAAGAGATAATTCGAAAAGAGGATCAGGTACGATTTATCGGTTTGAAAATTTGGAATCTGGAAGTCATTTGGAACAACTCCCCACCAAGTTTGAAGCGTTACATTTTAGAATAACCTGCCCACCTTTGAGGAGACCTGTGCAGTGTTCATCGACACAATGAAAACTCCCATCCGCTACAGCAGTAAATTTAGTTTTTCGTAAGTAAATAATAATTATTATTATTGATTTTTAAAAACATTTTTGAATAAATAATTTGAGTATTTTAAGACTGGTTATATGGGGGTTTCGGGGTCGGTAAGTTTTCAGAAATTGAAAATGTAGAATATGAAAAAAAACTAACTTCAAATTTGAAATTAACGACTCCTAAAACCCCCAAGTAATGAGTTTCGACCAAATCCGATCTGCCATTGTTAATTTTTTAAATTAAGCTACATGTTCGTAAATGGCAATGATAAAATCTCTTAAGAAACCAGATTTAAGCAGATTCCAGCAATTTTTAAATCATTTCAGATGAAGAAAATTTCCACAGAAGCTCTTGAATAGAAAACCACGAATTATAGTAATAATGTTAATAAAGATTGACAACAGTGGATTTCAAAACCTCATGCAAGCCTCGAAACGTTTACTTTGTGTACTTCAAAATTTTTAGAAGACTCTTGTGCGAAAATCACAAGCTAACTTCAAAAAAAGTGTAAAAGAATCTTTAGTAATTAACAATTTTGTTGTAGTTTGTGATTTTGCTGAAAACTACAAATTTGTTTTATCAGAATGCGACACCTAGATTTTACTGGAATAACAACCAGTCAAATATATGTCCAGTTGTCATTTGTTTTGATGTAAATAATGAATTATCACATAGAAGTCTAGTGATTATTTCTGAATGCAATACCTTTAATTCGAATGCGGTTAACGTATTTTTCAAAAGTTATTACAGACTTCATTAATACATTGTACAAAGATGACAAGAAAGTTTATTATTTTTCAGACGAAGCGCCACAGCAGTTCATAAACTATAAAAACTTTATTAACCTTAATTACATTATCACAACCTGACTCGGAGAGATCGATAAATTCTGATTTTTAACTATTAAATACATCCGAGTGATCAATTCAATAAACATAATATATTTATTAACCTTTATTATCACGAGCAAGATTTTAAAATAAAAGCCGAATGGAATTTTTTGATAGTTATGATGGTAAAGGACCTACCAAAAATTGAATTCTGTCGTTCCAAATACAGATGTTTAAATGACAAAAAAAATAAAACAAAAACATTGAAAAATAAAAATTTTGTTCCAATTAGTTATATGGGTGATTCTCCAAAAAACCTCATTTTGCGTGTAATCAAGATTTTCTAAATAATTATAATCATTTGGGAAAATACCAAGTCATATTTCCCTATTTTATCACTTTTTCTAAATGTTCTGCAAGAAAAAGTTGTAAAATTTTATTGTTTAATACATTTTTAAAATATTTTACCACCTCAAAATCGATTTTCTAACCTGTCATCTAAGTGCTTTTCATTTTTTCAATAGATAAAACAATTATTTAAAACATGAAAATTGGTACTTTATTAATTTTTTCTAAAAGTTATGATATTTAAGAATAATTTTCAAAAATATAAATAAAATATGTCGTGTAGTTTTTTTAAATATAGAAAATGAAATTTGTCATGTAGTACCGCGTCATTCCTCTCACTCGTTGAATATTATCCAATATTTTTGCTGTGGGTAGAGATATTGCTTAATTATTGTGATCAATATTTAAATTAACATCTCTAATATTAATTTCTTAAGTTACTTTTTAAAAAATGTCATTATTTTGCGTTAAAAAAATTAAAATTGAGACATAAGCAGAGATTCACAACCTAAAGCGTCATTCCTCTCACCGCTAATAAAAACAATATTAATATATATAAATTGATCGCAAATTTTTTTCACATAAAGTTATCCTTTATAAACATGATAGGGCATTCTAAGCTGGAGGAAAATTATTTGTCAATTAAATAAAATTAAAAAATGTTGAAATCGTCATTCCTCTCACTTTTTTGAATAAAAATTAAAAATTGATATGATTGTCGGTTGTTTACAAACTGCCAGTGAAAAGTGAACCTAAAATGTATGAAAAATAATTTTTGACAATTGTTTAAAGAGATTTTTGATAACTGTAAGTATTTCAAAATCTATAAAATTTATAGATAATATTAATAAATTATAATTTTTAAATAATTTTTTGTAAATAGAAAAATATATATAATAA